GATCTTGCCAGCTATGTTGGATGCGTTGTCTGCTGCGATGGTTGAGGCAAGCGCGTTCTGGCGATTGTAGGGCAGTGGTGAAGACATGACAGTACGCAGTCTGGACGAAAGCTAGAGAGGCTCCTTGTAACTGTAGGCAAGCAGGACTTATTAGAGTTAATCAGATTTTGATGAACCACGGAAACAAACCCCTCTATATACGTCGTTGATCAGGAAGCCGCCTAGATAATGTCATGTCGGTTGACTTAGGCTTAACTCCGTCCGCTGTAAGTCCGCGTCTGCATTGAGAACTGTTCACCGATGTACGCACACATTATCTCTAGGACAGTTCCTCAGGAATTTCTACACTTGTAAGTCGCAAGCCGGCATAGTGATGGTTAAATTCGGTGGGATGATTGGCACAGTGGCCAGATACTGAGTAGGGAATGTGACGTCACAGATTGTAGACGCTGAGAATGCATGCTGCATTCTCTGCTATGCGAGTTTTGACATCGAGAGCAATAAGGTAGATATGGTGATCTAAGATAATGTCGTTTGTTCTGTTGTTGAAATTGAAACCCTGACGAAGTGATGGTCGTAAAGTGTGTTTACTGCAACAATAATATTAGAATCTAGGTAGCATGAAGCCAATGAGACTACACATCATGTCACTAGTCGGAGGTTTTACATACGTTGCATACGAAGAAGATGTCAGGAAAGAAACCATGGGAAGTACAGAGTACTTATCATAATCTGGTGGTGTACACGGTAATGTATATTGTAGAAGCGATCTAGGGTATAACAACCAGCGCATGCGTTCATGCTCCGCTTTCCTGTCTCCTCCTCTTCCTCTTCCCCGGCATAATTTAGCCGTGATTATGCAGCGCCTGACGCTTTTGCCTTTTCCTGGGCTTCGAGCTTTCTCCGTGCTGCCAGAATCATCTCCTCTCGCCGTCTTTGCAAGTTCGCTTGCCTTTCACTCTTGTCAGCACTCCATGACTTCGCCTTCGGCTGCTCCTCCTGTGCCGGCTGCGAGACTTGACTAAGCTTCGAGGACAGATTGTATCGTGTTATCAGATCGGGATGTGCGGGTCTCGCTGGGGCTGGGGATGGTCGCGCCGGTGTAGCTGCGACTCGCGGTGCCGGTGTTGGTATTTGGAAAGACGCTGGTGCCTGTGCATGTGTTAGCATATGTCGACGGCATGACAGGATTCAAATCGAGAGACTTACCGTGTCTAACCCTCGCCCGCTCAGGGCCCGCTCCGTTGTCGCCGCAACGTTTCCGCCATTCCTCTGCAGATCCCATGCGATGTCGCGTCTGCTCAACTGCGGCAGCATCTCAGCGACTTGGTCTATTTGCGCAGGGCTCACGCGGAGTGCAGCGCGGTTCGCCGCAGCTCGCGTGCCTGGGGCCGCCGCCGTCGGCTTTCTCAAGTACCATCGTACAGCAAGGAACGTGATGACGATGAAAACGATGACTTGGGGAATGTTGATGCTCTGTTCCGCCATGACTCTATCTGCGGTATGAGTCGGAGGCTCGTGAGTCGATGCGCTGTGATTGTGTATGTACCGAGGTGCGGCGTAAAGTGCGTTGGTAGCAGCCGAGACTCGCAAACGGGTACCAAAGTTGTAGTTATCTGAGCAAACGTGATTTCAGATCACCGATTGCTTTAAGATTTCAAACGAGAGCGCGATAGCGGTATGAGCGAGTTTACGGACAGTGTTCTGAACAGTGTTCTGTCAAGTTCAAGTGAGGTCGCCATGTTTCGGACGAGCCTCGGCGAATAGCGAATCACCGAAAGGCCAAGGACCCGCGCTGACCCCTTGATGCCTTTCACTCTCGCGACCCACAAGTTCGCGCCTTCTCCATACTCCACCCTAATCCTTCGTTTCCACCCACGTCGGTCCCAGCCGTCTAGGCATACACTCATTTCCGACGACAATCGCTTCAATATGTTATGACGTTTGCATGCTTTGAGATACCCCCAATAGTCTATTCACGTTACACACACGCTACGCGCTTTTGATATATAGTTATGAATGCTCCAGTAATATCACGGAAGCCGCTTCCAGAAGCAGCCCAGGCGCACTTGAAGGCCTCGCCCATTGACACTACTACAATCGGGTCGAAATTGGAAGCACCTTTACCTTCAGATCAACGAACGAAAGATGCCATTAGGGTCACCGCTCCACGTGAGGTGCCCGCACCTGGCGATAAGTCAATTCACAATGGAAGGCGGTATGGCCTCACATGTGGTATCTTTACTGGTATAAAAACAAGCCCTTTTGCTTCGACACTCTCTCGTCACTACAACAACTTCCCACCACACAAAAGATACTTCAACAACCACATCAACCGCCGTACACTACTCATCATGATCGGCATCACTTTTGTCTCCCTTCTGGCTCTCATCATCGGTCTCGCAGCAGGCTTGGTTATCCCCTCCAAGTGAGTCTTTGTGCTTTGCCTTCTTCCAATAGCCTCAGCTAACAACACCCATAGCAACAATGCCGTGTCTCCAGCCATCGGACCCCTAGCTCAAGGCCAAATGACGTTCTACAACCCTGGTTTGGGCGCTTGCGGTCATACTCACGGTGACAACGACGCTGTCATGGCTGTTTCTCACGGACGCTGTAAGTATTGATCTTCGTCAACTCATCTACGAGACACACACTAACACCGTGTTTTCATCAGGGGACGAGGTCAAAACTCCCAACCCCAACGACAACCCACTTTGTGGTAAACAGATTCGAGCCCACCGTGTGGACGAGCGCACTGGCAAGGACGCCAGCGTCCTTGTCACCATTGTCGACAAGTGTAAGTACTCCGGATGGCACACTCCGTCTCACGCCACTTCATATTGCTGTTGCTAATGTTTTGCCAGGCATGGGATGTGCTTACGACGACATCGATGTCAGCCCTTCCGCGTTCGACAAGTTGGCTGATAAAGCCAAGGGCAGGGTCAACGTGGAGTGGTCCTGGGCCTGAGCATTGTCACTTGGTTCGCGTCACACAGTCATGACTCAGGGTTGAGTCGACTGTGACACATTACGGCATCTTCTATTACTCACACACTGGTGTGGCATATATATGCTTTCCAATTCTACTGATGATATACTCTTCTTCTACCTTTTGCTTGATACGTGAGCCTGTTTACGTTGACAGTAACTTTCTATCTTTCGACAATCTACATCTTCCTTGACAGCGCAGTGGCATATGCCATACTGTGCGTAAGTATCCATGCCTCTCGCCAGAAAAAGCAGCGAGTCTTCTTCCAGAACTCTGACAGGGGAGCGGAGCCTCAACATAGGCCGCCCTATTTTCAACGAGGGGATTTCCGAATCGACATTCATTGCGCGTACCGAAACACCAGAAAGCGCACACCAGCCAACTAGCTCTGGAAGAGACCTGAGAAGACCCATATCTTCTGACTGTCACCCCTCACGGAACTCCTCGCGGTGCGACGATCCATACATACCAGATACTTTTGAGGGCGAAACTCTGGCGGGGAACCCTGAGAAACCACTCCCCGAAGTCCCTGTCAGTCCTCTCCAGATACATCTACCATTCCAAGGTTCGAAATTCGACCAAAGCCGGGAGACGGACGACGACCTACCACAGTACGACCACTCAATGGGCCCCAGAGGTACAACCTACGCAAGACGATACAGTACTAGAAGCTCATTTTACCCCGAAACCGAGGACAAGGGTTATGAAGGAGGGGTAGGGCACCTTGAGGCGGGCATGAGAATCTTCAATAATATTACTTCGAACCACTACCCCGCTTCATCACAGCCAGTTGCGAAGGAGACGGAGAGTGAAGCTTTTCAAAGGGACTTGGTCGATGTACCTGTCGACTCCTCAACGCCAGAAGAGTTTGGAGGATCAAGCGACGTGCCCGAAAAACCTGCCAATGGAGCAATGTCAAAGCGGAAACTCCAGCTTTGTTGGGCAACATTTATCCTGGCAGCTCTTGTCGTAGTTATCGGTGTAATAATAGGATCGCTCAGTTACGTAAAGCATGGCAGCGGGGATAACCAAGACAAAGCGACGATGGAAAGCGAGACGTCCAGTGCTTCGTCAACGCCGCTTCTGACGGAGTCACCAGCCTCTGAGAGAGTCACAAATGCCGCTATACCGTCAGAACCCGTTCCGACGAGTGTCGTGGTTGTTTCGTCTTCCATCGAAACGAGCGAGATCCCATCCTCAACGCCTACGCCTACGCCTACGTCTACGACTACGTCTACGCTTACGCCAACGTCCACTCTCGAGTCCAGCTCAGTACAATCATCGAGTTCCCTCAGCAGCCCGTCCTCCCAATCTTCTAACTTCATGCAAAGTACAGCTGTACTAGAAGATCTTGTTGGGAGGAGCGGCTATCTAGACCAACGTGCTGATGGTTCTCTCCGCTACGATTCGCTTCTGGACTTAGACCAAGGTGGGTACCTTGGTCGAAGAGAGGACCTAGAGGACTGTGAAGATGTTACTATAACAATTACTACCACGTTGACAACGACGATCACGAGTACTATTCGAACATCTAGAATGGTAGCTTCCAGTGCTGGCAGCGATTCAGCTTCACCGCAGACGCCAGAGCCCGAACCTGCAGAGACCGTGCCAAAGTGCATAACAAATACCATCTTCCATACAAACGGTCCACCCAGTTCTACAAATCCCTCGGATGACACCGATGCCCCCAGCATGGAATTCTCGTCTGTTACCGCCGACTCTACGCCTTGTCTAGATACAACACCACCGCCTACCGGAACTTCAGCTACTCAATCTGCAGGTGAAGAGACTGGAGTTATTCCAACATCTTCCGTCGCGCAAGCGGAACGACTAGCAGTACCGAATCTAGGGAATAGTCTACTACGTCTCCGGCGCTTTTTGCCGCTGTTCCCAAGGGATAACGAGCAAAATCGGCATTTGCTTCCTTCTCTGATCATACCGACTGCGACAACGAAGAATAATGACGCGGATAACAGCTACAGTGTAAAGGTCCTGAGTACGACTAGCAGCAATGCCGCGGTGCGTCGAGAAGTTCAGCATTGGAATTTCATGGGCAAACCGAATCCCGCAGTACCTTCGAGGATTCATGAGCGCCGCGAAGTGCCTGCTCAACCACCTTCTCTGCCAGGTACAGAGGCAATGAAGACATACTGGGACGCATATTGGGATTTCCGGCTACTAATCATACAAATGTGCTTCTCCGTCAAATCAGAAAAACCCCCGACATCTGGGGATGTCAAGATGGGCCAAACGCTGAACGAGACCATATGCGATAACTTCGAGCAGAACTTTCCAGCAATAAGCGAAGGAGCAAAATGCGACCACAAGGACTCTTTCGAGAGGCTGAATAGTATAGTTAAGGCACTGTGTGCCTTAGCTAGGGAAGGCGAGAAGTATGTTCAAAGTCTGGCTTTGCTTTGCCACGTCCAAGACACTCTCAAGGGAAAGGTGTATGAATGTGGAGGGGAAGAAGATGGTGTGGTATCCGGCACAGGTACGATGATTGCCGCGTCTTTGATGGAGACCTTCGATAGCGGACCATCAATAACTAAGGAAGAGCCTGCACCAAGTGCAGACGTCGAAGCCACCCCAGATAGTAGCCACATTGCGTCTGATGTTCCCAGCTTTTCGCTACAACAAAACGCCGTGGCGGATGCAAATCTTCCTCCTGTCAGTACATCTGCTAGTCTCGTTGCTTTGGCTAGTGAGCCTCAACTCATAACCTCCGCCGCCAGTCTTGTCCCATCGCCCGTCCTCCCCACTCCTCCCGTTTCCGGAAACTCACCAGTTCCAGTTTCTCTGGCACCACCCCCAGACATCAATGCAGTACCACCACATCACTCTAACACGCCACCAGCCGACTGGACAATCCCCATGTTGACTTATACCACACAACCATACACGGATGCTGATGAATATACCTTGTTACGTACCGTGCCAACTGATGGCGTGGCCCAAGCGCCAATCTATTCAGGAGAACATCTTTCGAGAGACTGGCCAGATCTTTTCCCATTCTCGATCCCCACGGGTTACGTGGCTCCCAACATCGTACCCGCAGAGCCCCAGATCGGCCACCTGACAGAGTTTGGTCCCGGTGGCGTCGGAGCCTGTGGTGGTCCTGACATGAAAAGTAATGAGCTTGCTGTCGCCGTCAGCTGGGTGCTGTTCCAGATGGACCGAGAAATTGGGGGATCTCCCTTGGAAGAGAACTGGGTCTTCCTAGGAACACATGACGACGGCAGGGACATGAGATTGAGTGCTCTGTGTTTTCGAGGCATTAGAATGTGGATGGCTGATGATCAGGGTAAGAAACTGGTGGAGCAGGAGGTCGTAGTGAGAGACATGTGCACAGCATGTAACGTGACGCATTTGGACATGCAAAAGGGCACATTCGACAAGTACTGGGATGGCGGTGGAAAGGGTAGAATCAGTGTCACATGGGAATGGATGCAGGAGGCACCTACTGACGTGCCAGGATAGAGTCTCAAATTGCCCAGTTTCCTAGTGGGTGTTCAGTATTGGCGTTTTCGGAAGATTGTTATAGGGCCATATGTGTAAATTTAGAATCCGGTTCTGCAGTTTGAAGGAGTTCTTATCCCGCGTTACCTCCAGCGTTGGTCCAGTGCTTCGCGATGGTTTCACTAGGCAGCACGCCATGATTCTTCTTCATCGCATATACCTTCAATGGCCCACCTTTCTCGTCGTAGACTAGCACGGCTGCGCGCTCTTTCGTACGTGTGACGGCATCCCTTAGTTCTGCAAGCACACTCACCATCTTGCGCAATTTATCTTGATTGGCTTCCTCCCATCGGGGGTATTCCTTCTCAGCATCACTGATGCTCACCGAGTGCACCGTACCCTTGTCGTGGTTGCCGTTCATAAAGTAGGGCGTACGACCGAACCAAAGCTGCGGTAGTGCTTCTGTAAGACGTGCGAGCTTCTTGGCTTTGATTTCCGCGAGCTTGGACGGGTTGATGAAGATTCCCTTCTCAACGACTACTGTAGGCTTATCGACGGGAGTCTTTCGAGGTTTAGTTTGAGTTGATGGCAGGCCTGCAATATTTAGTTGTGCCATAGCAGCGCTCACGGTGCCAACGGGCTCATCCCTAGGCTGTTTAGACTTCGAGTCCAGGACGACATCCGGGTCATCGTAATACGCATCGACTTCAAAACGGACAACGCAGTTCAAAGGGCCGATATAGTACCGAATGACCCTGTGATGACTGCTAGAATTCCCCATTCCATGATCAGGCATGGTGAAGGTCTTCTCGAAGTTATGTCCGTAGCCCGCGTTCGGTGCACCATGGATCATTTGCTGAGCGTTCCGTTCTTTACGGCTAATAACGAGCGTATTGCCGACCATGTGTAAGCCCATGCAGAAAATGTCCAGTTTCCTCCCAGCCGAAAAATCGAGTAGCTTGCGAAGACTGTTGCGGTTGGCGATGATGTCGACTCGATCTAGCACGACGTCGGGTCCCATCACAGCAAGGGCAGCGAAGGCTGGCTCGAAAGGATACTTGGGCACGCGAGATGCGTTCTGATCGACGAAGTGTCTCCCTGAGTCCTGAGCTAGAGTGGTCGGCAGCGGTGGAGGGTTCCACCTCGGAGGTGCACCAGGTACATAGATTGACCCATCACACTGCCAGTTGTAGCTACACAAGGTCTCGAAGCCACGCTTAGACGACACCTTGGTGCCATCTGGCTCCAGTGTTGTTGCTTCTATTGTGCGAACGGGCAGCTCGGTGGTCTCCCGGAACATCCATGACGTTTTCCAAGAAGGCGCCTGGTGTGGAAGCTGTGCCCGGGGTTGTCCTGCTTTCGCAGATTGAGGCCTCAATCCCTTTGATGGAACTGCGTCTCCTTGAGCTAATATTGGAAGCTTCTCTTTAACCGGTACCTTCACTGTTGCAACTTCTGCTGACGCCAAAGAAGTTGTTACGGGTGGAGATGCCTTCGCTCCATTTCGCCTAGCACGCTCTCTATGTGTGGAGTCAGACTTGAGTGGAAATTGGGGCAAGATTAGCCTACTCACAGTTTTGAAGGACGCGCATTTCGTGCCTTCGGCCGTATAGCATCGTCCTCTTTGGTTACTGCAGTCCCGGCCGTTGTAGGCTGGTGATCGCCGTCAATAACTGTCTCATGGGCCCGGAGTGCGTTCGTTGCTACTGAACTCTCGGCTTCCACTGTTGCTGTATCCTGATTCTTGTGCTGGCTGCGCTCCTGTTAGCTGTCTGTACACTCGTACAGACTAATGTCAGCGCAATACTTACCGCTTTCTACCACGTTGGCGTTTCTTTATCGGAGCGACCTCTTGACCTGACTTCTGCTCCCCAGAGGCTATTGGGGTGCCACCGTCGTCACGAGTACCTAATCTCGTGGCGGTAGGCTGAGCCACGGACTGCGACATGCTTAGTGGAGTTGTTGGCTTGTTAAGAATTCACATGCCAGGGTGACAGAGGTAGCATGCGTCGAGTAGCAACCGCAAGGCAGAACCTGTGTAGCGGGGTAGCTGTTGCGCGCATCAGGATAGCTTGTACAGCCTAAGTTTGAGACTGCCAAGTCTGTGCGCCGTCAGAGTCGGCTGCACTGGCTGAGTGAAGGTGAAGAGGAGTGCGCAGCCTTGGATGCATACCTAGGTAAGCATTGGAGAAGTCATCATCAATGACACGCAGGACGAAGCGCGTCTGAGATGTCTATCATCCAACCAGTCGACTCTTTACACATGGCATGGATGTTACTGGAGGCGATGCAGCTGGTGTCGAACAATCTAGGGGGGTGTTTGTGGAGGTGCAGGTCTCACGTGCGCAGGCGATAATGATTGGCAGGGTCTGGATCGGTTACGCGTCATTCCTCTCGGAGTCGGCAGCATCCTTCAACTTAATTCCTACGATGCACACGACCATCTCCGGCCTTGATGCTTCACTTCTACGCTTCTTACTTCCCCCTACTACTTTTAATGTCTAGTTAACTTCTGCATACGTGTCTTGGCCTGTCGTCTCCGCATGCTTGGCAAACCTCCTCCGCCGCAGCGTTAGGCGCACTATCTGCAATGTCGACCGTCTTCGCCTCCCTGGTACGCCCACCCAAGCTGCGACGGGCTTCCGCAGCTACGCAGCCCGCGGCCCAGCCTCCGCCCTCGATCGACAGTCATGGCCTCGACGAGCCCGACCTGCGCGACCTCAATACCGCCCTGCAAGCGCTTACCGACATCTTCCCCGACCTGCAACCCGAGGTTTTCCGAGAGATGCTGTCTACTTTTAGCGAAGAGAGCAGGCTGCAAGTCGTCACCGAGACGCTCTTAAAGCATGGCGACAAGTATGTGCGGGGCCGGTACAGGAAGCCCGCCGAGCAGGAAGAGCAGCGGGAGACGGCGCAGAAGTACAAATACCGCAAGGAAGACGCACCGAGAGACACACGAGGCATACCCCTTGCGCTGGAAGAAAAGTTTCGGTCACGGCGATATAAGGAGGCTGCCAAAGAAGCGCTGTATCAGGAATTCAAAGGCCTGAGCCACTCGACCATCAAGGCTGTGCTGGCTGAATACAACTACAGCTATACGCATGCACGACCGACACTATTGGAACTATCAACTAGAAGTTGGAGATCCAGCATCACCAACTTCCTGATGCGACGGAAGGCGCCGACGGCCAGTGACCACCCCCTGGTCATTTGGACTCCCGCCGACGAACGTCTGAACCGTCCGTCTATGCCACTTCTCGTAAAGACACGAAGCGACGAGCTGAATCAGGAGCTGTACAACGCACTCATTGTACCGGAACATGAGAAACACCGGAACGCGCAATTGCGACAGGACTATGACTTGGCCATGCAATGGAACGAAGAGGAGGCCGAGCGTGAAGGCGAAATGTACGACTGCGAATGCTGCTTCATACCCAACACGCTTCAGCAGATGTCGACCTGCGATATCGACGGCCACTACATCTGCTTCCGTTGCATACGGCATGCTATCAACGCTGCCCTCTATGACCAGGGCTGGGCGCGTAACATCAACACGGACCTGTGTACCCTGAAATGCATAGCGCCTATGACCGGTGGCTCCGAAGAGTGTCGAGGCTGCATACCCTTCTCGTTTGTGAAGCGCGCTCTTCTGGAAGAGCAAGATGGAAAGGACAACCTGAACAAACTCAACGAGCGCTTCGCTAGCGATGCACTGACCAGATCTCAGCTACCACTCGTACAGTGTCCCTTCTGCTCGTATGCGGAGTTGGATGACCTCGCGCTTCCAGATACCAACCTCTTCGCCAGCCTACGTTTCAAATCCCGCCCACTCATACTGGCTTCGCTGGCCTCTGTGCCCTTATTCGAGCTGCTGTGCTTCCAAGCCACTCGAGCCTTACTTTTCGCATTTATTCTTATCTACACCTTCGTCACCATCACATTTCGCCTGTCCGTCATCGCACCCTTTCGATCCGCGCTCAGGCGTGTCCACCTAAAGCGTCGCGGTCTTCGGTTTCAGTGTCTATCCCCAAGCTGCGGTCGCGCATCCTGCCTCTCGTGCTCCCTTCCCTGGCATGACCCCCACACATGTTTCTCTTCCCAGCTCACGTCCCTTCGTCTCACACTCGAACGTGCTACCACAGACGCAGTCAAGCGTACCTGTCCTCAATGCAACCTAGGCTTTGTAAAATCCGAGGGCTGCAATAAGCTCGTTTGCCTTTGTGGGTACAGCATGTGCTACATCTGCCGACAGGGTCTTGCGAATGAGGGCTATCAACACTTTTGTGGACACTTCCGTGAACGGCCCGGACAGCCATGCGGCGAGTGCAACAAATGTGATCTATACCGCGTAGAGGACGAAGAGAGGGTGGTCAAGAAGGCCAAAGATAGGGCCGAGGCAGAGTGGTGGGAAGCGCAGGGCGATGGCGCGAAGGAAGGGCTGCAGAAAGAGGTCGGGAAGAACGAAGGCTCCGCGGCGAAAGGGGTGGCGGGGCTGAAGAGGGGAAATTGGGAAGCCTGGATCGAAGGCGTACTGGATAGTGTGCTTGTTTAATTATTTGCTGTTGGCGTTCGGATGTGGCCACATATCGTCAGAGAAAGATTGATACCCAGAATTCATATTATACAGCGTCCCATGTGGACGCCATATTAGTTGCAATTCTTTTGCTCAGTCCCAATCATGACTGCCGTGTGACTACCAAACAAGACAACACGGTAGACCACCTTTATTCAAGTCGTTGCCTAAGAGAGTTACTAAACCTGAGGCCTATACCGAGATACCTAAATGGTAACCACCAAATAGTTGACCATTCTCCAGACTTGAGCTAGTTATGTGTGAATGACCTTTTTCTTCAAGGATTTCACGAGACTTACGAAGATGTGTGCTATCAGTGGTGAGACATCCTTCGAGTGGCATTACAATTTTTAATATTTGACATGCACACTCTTTGTGCAAGCTCTTGTGTTAATAATACTTCTCTTTTTAAGAGGACCTAATTAGATAGGTGTATATAGAATTTAGA